CAGTAGGAAAAATCTGTACATTACAATATAATGGAAGAAAATAAGTGAAAAATTCTGATGTATAGTAAGAAATAATAGATTCTTTAGTTTTAATTTATCACGATTATGACAATGTTAAATGATTAATTATTAATAATAAACCACTGTATTTTATAATGATCGTTGTCATAAATTATTCAACATTTTGAAATTTATCATATATATATATTTCAATGAATTTTTAATTACTATATATAAGAAAAAATTTATTATATTAAATATTATATATATAGGTAGTGTCTTTTATTGATTAAGTCAATGATTTCTTGTTCAAAATTTGTTTGAATGCAATGTAACGACGATCGGTAAAAAAGAGTTCTAGTTTACCGATAAGCGATAATTACCATATGATGGTAATTACCGGCGTGGTTTTAATCGTATAAATTCTTCTTAGATTTTCATTTTCTCATACTTCCTTAGGTCGAATATTTTCAACCAAATATCATCGTCCCTTTCGACAAATTCAAAATATTTCAAATACCATAAATTCTGATCCCAGTCATGCACCGCTAGATTATCGCGTTCCACGAATAAAACGATCATATATACCCTTTTCGTTTCCTGCACCTACTAATATTTTCTCACTGGCTCAAGGAAACTCTCATACCATTAAATTCTTATGTAATAAAACCATAGTCTTCCTTCCTTTTATCATCTTTCTATAGATTTAACCGAACGTTCGTATCCTTGCTGGATCATCAAGATTTTATTAAACTTGAAATATTTCAAAAATGTCTTCGATTATATTTTAAGGGATCATTGTTTTTGCTATGAGAAAAGGTGTGCAGGTATAAAAGTTGGCAGATTATAAACTTTGAAAAGAAACGATTTTTATTTATTTTACATTTACATTAATATTTGGAAGAATTTATTAATGATTATAATCAACAACGTATTATGTTTTTTTGAAGAGAGAAAAAAGAAAATAAATTCTAGTAAAATTGAAGGGGTTTTTGTAATTATTTCGCGTAGGAGAGAATTCGCATACCATTTTTGGGTGTAAATAAAGAAACAATCGTAAATTGTATTTAGAGATTGCCGATAAATTACATTCGATGGGAACACAAATCACTGTTTCAATCGCATCATTCGACATCTTTACGAATCTTGTTCGTTACACGTTAACTTTATTTCCCATAATTACTTTTCCTTAATTTCTCGTCCACTTTTTTTCTCTCCTCGTTTGGTTCTATTTTGTTCTTTTTCTTTTAAATTTATTCGGAAAACTTGATAAAATAGCAAACAAGTTGTTTATCAAGTGTCATGTGTATTTTGTGGGAAAACAAAAAACTTTTCTTTTTTGTTTGAATTTTATGTGAGCTAGCATGCAGACACACAGTTATT